GAACAACCAAGAGAGGTCGCTATTAGTGCTGGTAGGAGGGTAATGTAGAGCATATAGCGCGCACTGCTTTTGTGTGACTGGTGCGTGTGCGTCTGCGTGTGCCCGTGCGCGTTCGCGTGCGCGTGCGCGTGCGTGTGCGTGCTCCATTGCGCTGGGGAGGTTGCAACCGGGAGGAAACTTGTTCATCTCGTGCTCGAATGCCGAGAGGCCCTGCAGGCTCCAAAGCTCGTGCCGCGCTCCGCTCTTGTTGTCCTGGTTGATCGTGGCGCTGGCCTCCTCGATCTGCCTTGCGGAGGAGGTGCCGGCGGCGAAGTGCTTGGACAAGATCCCGCTCCGCGCGACGATATCGTGCGCGAGGAGCACATCGTCCTCCTCGCTCCGCAGATTTACAACAACCTCTTCTACAGCGCGCAGAGCGGCTACTTCCTGCTCTCGGACTTGAGCTTGATGCTCGCCGCCTTCATCCGCGCGCCCGTCTCCAACTTGGAAGAGCGCGGCAACGCCCTGACCAACATCTCGACTTCGCTCTTGCACATGGTAGCCAAGGAGCGGGACGTGGCCAAGGAGGACATCACCGACTTCCTCATTGGCATCTCGGCCGCCGAGCTCGTCCCAGAGTTCTTGGCCCTCCTGCCCATGTTTGTCGCGCCGAAGTCTGCAGTGGAACTCGTCACGGTCATCGAGTAGCTCAAGACTGCGGGCGAGGCGTCGTCGCTGATGTCCTGGAAAGTCTTGATGGCGTCGTAGGCCGATGGGCAGGCCGCCTTGAGCTTGGAGACGCTGGTGAACGCGTGCTGGTCCGAGACGCCCGACATCACCTTACGAGAAGAGAGTCGAGAGCACCTTTACGAGAAGAGCAAGATGGCGTGCTTGATGCGGCCGAGTTTGGGTCTCGTCCGCAGCGAGAGGAGGAGGAAGGTCACGAGTGAGTTGACGGGCGGCCGACAGCGAGTGAAGCACGGAAGCCGCGCGCGGGTCGATGGGCGGACGCTGTAGCTGATTGATTGGCGGACGCTGTAGCTGATTGATTTCCGAAATAAGTCCGGTACTACCGGACTTGTCGAAGTCAGCAGAGGAGGGTCCCGCCTGGTCCTCGAGGGGCGGGCTCCGGACGAGCGCTGTCGTGAGCGGTCGTGACGAGCTCCACCCGACAGGAAGTGTGAGCGAGTCCTCGCTGTCGCGCGCACTCCACGATAAGCTCTCGTATTGCTGCGCAATAAACCCACTTATTACCTCGTAGGGCGAGGCTCTGGACAAACTTATTCGCGTCAAAGACGGTGTCCTCGTGCCCGTCGCGGCAGAACGTGTTGTACACGTCGTCGATTGTCCAGGTCAGCTGCAAGTCCTGGCCCCGCGCCTTGCTCTTGATCGCCTGCTCGATCAGCGCCGCGGTGAAGCCAGCGGCCCGCAGCTCGGTGCCTAGCTCGAAGAGCGCCTGCGGGATCTTGCCGTGTGCACCCGCCTGGATCTCAGCGGCAGCCGCGTTGGCGGGCGGTGCCTCGAGCGGGTGCGCCGAGTGCGCGAGGTCGAAGCTCATCGGGACCCATCCCTCCGTCGAGTCCTCGAGGCGGATGAATGCGTGGCACTTCTCGCCGACGTCGCCCATGGAGACCGTCCTGCGCTGCTTCGCAGTCGAGGAAGCTGCGCGCACATACTTGCACGAGAAGTAGCACTTGGAGCCGGCCCTCGAGGTTGGTTCCTTCGGCTTGGACTCCAGGATGAACTTGAAGCCCTTCATGAGCGCCCACGCCTGAAGAGCATTGGTGCCCGCCTTGAGCGTTGGCCACGGGCCCATCGGGAGGTCGGCGGGGATATCGCTGTCGTTCTGCAGGCAGAGCGCCTCCAGCGCGTCGCGGATAACCCCGGGGAGGCGCCTGCAGTGACGCCCCCAGCGGGAGCCCGGGCGCAAGCGAAGGGCTGCGCGGCTGCGGGCTGGCCTCCCGCCCGCGCTCGAGCGGGATGCGCGACGCCCGCTCGAGCGCGCGGCGCTGGTCCTCGAGCTGGTCGCGCGACGCCCACATGCGCGTGGGCGAGCTCGCGGGGCTGCGCGGGGCGCTCGTCGGCGAGCTCGCCGCGCGCGCGAGCGGGCTGCGCGCGGGGCTGCGCGGGGCGCTCATCGGCGAGCTCGCCACGCGCGCGAGCGGGCTGCGCGCGGGGCTGCGCGGGGCGCTCGTCGGTGAGCTCGCCGCGCGTGCGGGCTCCCCGAGAACAGTCTCAGGCCTGCGCGTCGCCGAGACGGTCTCGAGGGCCGTACTTTCGAGACAGTCTCGAGCTGAGACCGTCTCGACTCGAGCTGAGACCGTCTCGACTCGAGCTGAGACCGTCTCGACTCGAGCTGAGACCGTCTCGAAATACGATCGGCGCACTTGGCACTGCCCCGTGCTGTCCCTCGTCTCAGGCGGGCTGCGGACCCAGCTGTAGAGCGGGGAATTCAGGCTATCGAGGTATCTTCGGGGCGCCGCAGAAGCGGTATGCAGCACCGCGCCGGGCGTACGACGGACCCGATTCTCCCCGCTGTCCAAGTGGGGCCCGCTGCTAGGCGGGGACTACGTGCTCAACGATTTGTTCACCACGGGCGGGTGCTGCATTTTCAGACGATGCAAGGGAGAGCAGTGGAGGTCGGTCAGCGCGCCAGTCGAGTGTCGTCAGTCGTCGATCGTCGTGTGTCTGAATTGATCAGCGGTGGGGACGGTATCCGTGCGCTCGTGGTGGATCCCTGGATCTGAGTGTTTTTCAACACTTAAATCCAGTGAGATCCTCCCGGGGACGGACGTTTAACTAGAAACTTAAAACACATCAGACCTGGCGCGCGGGTCTAAATTATTAGATAGTCTAATTTAACTCTCGAATCATGTGACAATTTAGCTCAGTTGGGAGAGCGTAGCACTGAAGATGCTAAGGTCCTAGGTTCGATCCCTGGAATTGTCAATTTTGCCCTTACGATTTTCTGGTTTTGCCCTTCTGCGCAGCTGTCAAATTCTCGTTGCACTCGCTCCGCACCCTATTTTCCTTTTTCATTTTATTCGGACGGCCCACGGAGAGGGCATACGATCGTCCAGAAGCCGTGGTTTCTGCCGTGGGCGCTGATTCGGTCACGCCGCAAAATCATACCGGCAGAGGTGATCACGCGGGCAGGGGCGATCAGGGTTGACCTGGAACATGCGGCCAGCGAAACTTCCCTGAAATTCTTGGCCATGCGCGTCGCCGCCTCGCTTCACAAGCCCCGTGCGAGTCAGTCCCTCCAGCAAATTGACCCTGCAGGACTGCCTCGTAAAACACGCGGGCGGCGGCCAAGGCGGACAAGTGCGCTGGTGCGATCGTCCAAAGCATCGAAGTCCTCGTCGACAACCAACTCGCATTGAAGACAGTCCCTGTGCTGGCCGGCCTAGTTCTTTCAGTAAGCGGGGCTATAACTAATTGAAATCAGATTCTCCGCGCGAAATCCCTACATTTACCGCGCCGTCTGACGCGCCGCCTGACGCCGTCTGTGCCCACGAGCCGGCCGAGAGTGGCACTCAGCGAGGCAAGATCACATACCCGCACAACAGTCTGAGACTCTGAGTCTCTCCGACGAGAGCGCGATGGCGGTGAACTCAGCACTGGAGGTATTGGCCGGTCTGCAGCCTGCAGCTTGACTCAGAGCGCTCTTAGATGGCGCATCGTCTGCAGCTGGTTCAGAGAGAGAATTCACGATGCTCAACGGTGGCCTGAGCTTCATTCGAGCTGCTGGGCTCAAGCCACTCGACTACCACTAGATGCGGCTCGCACCGCTGCTCGTCGATTTCCCGGCCTCGACGACCGCCTGCACGCGTGCACTCGCGGCCTCCAGTACGGCGGCGGCGGCGCGCGTGACGCGGGTGCTCGGCGGAGAGGGCTTTGTCGCGCACGCCTTTGAGTGTGGCACGTATGGCTTGCGTAAGTTCGACAGCGAGACCTGCTTGCGCCTCACGCTCAACTCGAGCTACGCGGGGACCACGTGCGGATCATTTCCAGTCTTTGAGATTTTGGCGGGTGCGCAGCCCCCGCCCATCGCCAGTCTGAGGGCGCTGCGCGCCCTCAGACTGGGCCCGTAGGGCCCAGTTTTAAGTGCGGCAGCGGTCGCAGGCCAGCAGCTGCGTGGCCCGCAGGCTGCGGCCGGCAGGACAGCGGCCGTAGGCCGCCTTGCGCTCATAATCTGCAGTAATAATATATAGCACAATAGCCGATATAAATAACGCCTTGCGCTCATAATCTGCAATAATAATATATAGCACAATAGCCGATATAAATAACATATACTAATGAAAGAGGGTTCGGGCTGGCGACAGTGTTTCAAGTTCGCAAGTCAAGCTGATCTTAGCGCTCCGACGTAGGCTCCTACGCGCTACGCCGAAGTGCGTGGAGCTGGTAGAAGTGGTGGATGTATATATTAATCCCTATCATAAATATATTAATGTAGGACTAACGTCTGACGTCGACCAAGTCAGTTAGTGAACAACACCTGTTGAACCATGCTGAGCCGATAGATATATATTTATGTAGGGGGGTTAATAATTATACTTGAGGTTGCGCGTTTCTTGAGGTCGCCATTGGCTACATCTTGAAATTCGCTCGTCATTATAAAGTGCGAAAACCACTCCCACGTGTTCTTACTTGCCGGGTATATAGTTCTTCCATCTAACGAGCCACTCGTCGCGTCACTTCTTTTTGTCGCAGCGGTACTCGAGGATCGTCTCGACCTCGTACGTGCCCAGCGGCTCTGCGTGCGTGCCCGTCTCTCCAAACTCCTATCGTCGTTGAGCACGCCAGTCGCGTCGGCGGCGGCGTCGACATCCTCACCCTCGCTGTCGGCCGTGATACCACTGGCGGCGGCAGGAGCTTGCCACTGCGTCTTCATGAAGGGCAGCTTGCTACGCTCAGCGCGATGGCGATTGACGACCAGGCTCACCGTCCACTTGAGCCTGTAGAGGAGTTTTTTTGAGAAATAATATTAAAGGAATATATGATTTCTCATTCGAAATTCGGAGGAACACCTAGACGCAAAAAATTGAGCGAGGAACCACTTCGGGCTGGCGGTCCGACACATGATTCTACCAGGAAGTACAAAAAAACGGCCTCCGAAGTGAAGGTGGTACTTTCAGCATTCGAGTCAAAATACCACCTTAACTTCGGAGGCAATTTTATCGTCCTTCTCGTTGAAATCAGCTGTCAATCTGCACGGCTGAAGTTGTTCCGCGTCTTATTCTGCGTCTAAAAGTATCTTCACAATCTATACCAAGTTCAAATATGAGTTTTGGTAAAAATGCCTGTTGGTGTTACTCCGCACACGCGGCGTTCACTCGCGCCGTTGCCTGGCGCGCGAGGTGCTCAAAGAGCAGCAAGCAGCTAAACTCGATGTACTCGTCGACTGATAAAAAAGGAACCGACTCAAGGTAATCAAATAGAACTGATAAGTTCCTTGCTATCTTAAGCCGTTGGTGTTTTGGCAGGTGCTTGGTGTTTCGTCAGGTGCGAACACCCCCCCACGAACTCATCTCGCGCTCACTCGTTGATGCTAGCGAACATGAGGACGCTCACATGACGTTGGAACACAGCTACCGGAGTAGGCTTGGTGAAGATGTCCGCGCAGTTGAGATCAGTGTGAACCTTGGACACCTTTATGATGCCGGTCTGCTGCGCCAGGCGGATGTAGTGCCATCGCACCTCAATGTGTTTGCTGCGCTTGTGGTGCACTGGATTCTCAACCAATTGAATCGTGCCCTGGTTGTCCTCGAAGACCTCGGTCGGGTTGGGGTCCTCGCGGCGAAGGAAGGCAACGACGGTGCGGAGGTAACTGATCTTACGCGCGCACTCCGTGAGTGCGATATACTCACTCTCACACGTACTCAACGCGACGATCGACTGCATGCCACTGTGCCACGCGATCAGGGTGCCGTTGTACAACACAACGTACCCGCTCGTAGAACGGCGCCCCACCTCGTCCGCGGCCCAGTCAGCGTCAGCATAGGCAGACAGGCTCGGGTGTATGGGGTCACGCGCGTACCGAAAGAGCAGCCCAAGCGACACGGTGCCGCTCAGATACCACAGGACGCGCCGCGCGGCCATCATGTCGCACACGCGGGGCACGGACATACGCCGCGCCAACGTGTTGACCGCGTGCGCGAGGTCGAGCCGCGCCGTCGTGCTTGCGTACATAGTCTCGCCGGTGATCTGCTGGTAAAGCTGTGTGTCAGCTCGATTCAACAGCGTCTCGTCAGGCTCCTCTCCGCGATGCTCGTCCTTGCTCGCTCCGGGCGAGGAAGCAGGGCGGCAGTCGGTCATGCCAAAGCGCTCGAGCACGCCGCGCACATACTGCGCGAGGTGCATGAAGATCCCGTCGGGCCGGCTCTCAAATTGCGCGCCCAAAAATCGCTCGAAGCTGGCCGCCATCTTGATCTCAAAAGAGAGAGCCAAGGGACACCACTAGTTTCTTGACGGCGTCAGGATCCGAGGTCAGGTTGAGCACGATCCAGTCGTCCACAAAGACGCCGACAATGAGGTACTCGCCCTTGCCGACTTCCTTGACGTAGATACAGGAAGCGGCGGCACAGACCTTGAAGCCACGTTTGAGTAGTCGCCTCTCCTGATCCTGGTGCCAGGATCGCCCTGACTGTCGCAATCCTGGTAGACCACGTTTGACCTCGCCCACGACCTTGAATCCAGGTGGTGCTGTGCGCTCAGGTGAGTAGCCCTCGGGCAGCGAGATGAAAACGTTGTCATCAATGAGATCGGCAGAGAGGTAGGCATCGCTCACATCGCCCGAGCTCAGGACGGTCACGGGCGACGGATGGTCTCGAAGCTGAGCACCCTTGAGCGACGCGCCAACGGCTACAAGGAGACGAACTTGTTCGCCGCGGATTGTCGGGGCGAACGTCTGGTCAAAGTTGATGCCAGGCCTCTGCAAGTTGCCAAGCGCCACAGCGCGCGCCTTCCACTTGGTGACCTGATCCTGCTCGTCCGTCTTGGGTTGAAACACCCACTAAACACCCACTGCATCGGGATGACGCGTTTGCTGCTCGGCACGATGGTCTCGCGCCAGGAGCCCTGCTCTCGGTGCATCTGCAGATGGTCCTGTGTGGACTGCCGCCACTCGGCTGCTTGCGGCGACGCCATGGCCTGGCGGTAGTTGCGTGGCACACTGACTGCCTCTCCCTTGAAGTAGGCAGCGTTGCCAGCGCGCGCCGAGGTCGTTGCTGATCGTCGGGCCCGGTCACGCCGCTGCGGGTCGCACGCCAGGCTCATCAGTGGCACGTCGTTCTGCTCTATGACGTCCTCTTGGCCGTCAACTTGCTCGTCTCGTTCTCGTTCTCGTTCTTGCTCGTTTCGTTGGTGCTCTTGCTCGTCTCGTACTCGTTGATTTCGGGTGTCAGGCGTGACAGGTGTGTCACGCGTGACTGGCGTGCCAGGCGAGACAGACTTGCCAGGTGTGACAGACGGTGGTGTGGCAGAGGTAACAGGCAAAGACTGGTGCAACCCCCCCTGAGCCTCTGGCTCCACCTCCTGCCACAAATGGGGAGTGTGCATACCCGTTCGAAGCATCTCTCGCTCGTCGACTCGAATGTCGCGCGCTAGCACGACTGCGCCGCTGTCAAGCAGCACGACGTAGCCCATAGCGCGACGATGGGTGCCCTGCCATTGGAAACCGTAGCCCGCGTAGACGAGCACGCGGCCTCGCTCAGCTGGCAGCCCAAAATTGCCTTGGCTGGCAGCCTCGGGCCCGAGTCGAAGGCGGGAACACGGAGCGCCAAACATCATGATGTGGCGGAGGCTCGGACGCACCCGGTAGAACAGCTCGTGCTGTGTGACGGCTCGGTCAGTGATCCGACGCAGCGCCATCAGGTTCTTGCCAATGGCCGTATGAAGCATCGCCCAGGGCTAAAACCATGGACGCAGACCGGCCATCGCAAGAC